ACACGTCAGCACAGATGAACGGAAAACATACTAAGTAGTAAATACTCTAGACACAAAAGTTACGGAGTGCCAGGAGTCATTTGTGTGGGACATCCTAAATAAACAAGCCCTTATAAACAGGAAGCATGCTTGTAGTTACCAGAGGCTTCTGGATGCAGGGAGGAGAAGCTTCATGGAGGGCACAGAAAGAGGAATACAAACCAGGCGGTACTCCTATGAAGGCAAGCTACACTGTACACCCCGGTCCCGTGGGGGGAAAGTATTGATTGAAGGAAAACCGCAAACAGTGTGCTGGTGGCGGCGGGACAGGGCCGGGCTGGAGATTTACACTGCGCTCTCTGTGAGGAACTGGGGAGCAGTGCGCACCAATAACATGGGAAAGCCTCGCTGGCGATGACTACTCGGGTTTGCAAAGGTGAAAAGACCAGCACGGGCAGCACGGCAGAGGCCAACGTAGAAGCCAGGATGGATCTGGAAAATACGAAGCGCAGATGAGGAAGTTTCTGGGTTTGCGGCAGGCAGTGAGTGCATCAGGGAGAAGATCAAAGTGTGCTGAGCAAACACCACACAGCATCAGGGATCCGGCAAAGGAGTCTGGCTCCTGCCAATGCTCCAGGATGCAAGATAAAAGGCAAACAGCTCTGCAGATGCCTGGCCTTCCCGGCCTTCCCCCTTACTTCCCACCCGCGCGGCTACAGACAAAAATCTTACTGATGGCTCTCAGATAACCCGGACTGAACCGTGGCTGGAGGCTACAAAAGAGGGCTGCTACATTCAGATTTTAATTGCCTTCTTTGTTCACATTGTCATTAAATAATTGATTCCTTTATTTGCCATCGACTTACACAAATATTTGCTCCATTCCATTCACCAGACGCGGCTAAGAACGCCAGGAGACGGAAAGATGGTGCCTTAGAGTTTCTGTTGCTGGGATACAGCGCTGTGACCCAAGCTTGGGAAAGAAAGGCTTTGTTTCGCTTGTTCTTCCCCATCACAGTCCATCATCAAAGTCAGGGCAGGAACGCGAACAGGGCACGAACCTGGAGGCAGGCGCTGATGCAGAGGCCATGGAGGGCTGCGGAGGAGTTCCGCTTACTGACTTGCCGTCCAGGTTTTGCTCAGACTTTCTTATCCCACACGACCTGCCCAGCAGTGGCATTGCCCACAATGGGCCGGACCCTCCCATAGTCTCTGATTAAGAAAATGTTCCATGGGCTTCCCCCAGGTCAACTGAGGCTCCTCTTCCCAGGTATCTCTAGCTTGTGCCACACTGGAAAACAAAACAAAACTAACCAGGACAGATGGGTAATGAATCTTACATAAAACCCGTTTATTTAACTATATATCATATGGATTCCCAAATACCCCCTCTGGGGGTAGGTATTGCTCTAAATATTTGATGCTGCATTTACATCAGAAAACAAAATTGATAACTTTATGGAGTTGGCCGTTGAATGACATAGGTGTACAATTTAATGGCCTGGTTGCACAACTATACAAACAAATAAGACTCAATGGAAACATATACAGCAAAGAAGATATTTGCCTGGGAATAAGGGAAGGCTGGGGGAAAGGATACTGTTCAAATTTAACAGGAAGAAGGCAGAGAAAGAAGAAATCAGTGTCTCCAATCACAAACTAGGGCTAGCCAGGAAAGCCAGGGGTGAACACGGGGAAGGCAGAGGGCCAGATGTGATTAGTGTATGTGACTCACCAGAAAGAGGCTGGAAACAAGAGGTAAATGTAGCAGGCTTTCTTTTGGGCCACCAACCAGCTCCCAAATCGTGACACGCAGACTTGGTGTTAGTTCTGAAAGTTTGGCCTTATCTTATAATGGTCCCATTAGTTCTTATAACTTAAGTTAATCTGCTTCTCTTCATGTGTGTTTGTCTCGGGGCTTTTGACCTCTCTTTCATCCTGTATGTCGCACTTTCACTGCCTCCTGTGTCTGGCTGGCTGGTGGCTGCATGGCTGTCATGTATCAGGTGTCTCCCTCTCGTTTCATTGTGAAGACATCCCAATCTTGTTCCATTAGTCATCAGTGACTCCAATCAGTTAAGGATTGAAAACCCAGAAGCTGGTCTCACTGAACATTTGAGGAGAAAGTTGAATGACTGCCAGACACTCCCATAGCTAGAGTCCCTCTCTTGACAGATCCTGCATGGTTTTCTGAGCCCCGGAGGCCCTTTCTACACATCTCTTGTGGACTAGAACCTCTTCACTCTCTGAAACCCTGCCTAGGTGTCCGCTCAGATCTTTCCAGAATAGAACCTCATTTGGGATCATCTACTGGTTCTCCCTCTAAGACACAGCTGTCTGTAATTTTGTTTGTTCTTTGCACCCAGATTTAGCATAATGGGGGGGTACCTAGCTGCCTGTTGAAGGGCTTCTGGTCCCTATTTTCAGGAAGAGAGACTCAAACAAAATTAGTTGTTCACATAGTAATACTAGAAACAGAAGGCCTTGCGTGCTGACATAGAAGTGGAACCGTTGCCCCCTCCCCTTTTGGTTATTCGAGACAATGTTTCTCTGTGTAGCCTCTGACTGCCCTGAAATTCCCTTTGTAGACCAGTCTGACCTCAGACTCACAGAGATCCGCCTGCCTCTGCCTCCCTGGGTGCTGGGATTAAAGGCGTGTACCATGAAAACCTGACACCATTACCCCTATTCAATCTGCAGCTTGATATAAATGAACTCCAAAAGGCAACACAGTTGGAAAGAGATGCATAAGTTAAGCCTTTGGGGTCCAGAGATTTGAGCTCAAGTTTTAGCTGTGCAGTCATAGATCTGGCTAGTGCAGAGGTAGGAGTTGAACTTGGTTTGCAAAATGGCCAACAGTACTGTTGCTCCTGACCCATGCAGTTGGCAGCAAGAAACTGAAATCATAAATGTGACAGTGATTTATAAGTTCTATGGAACTTATGAACACAGATGATTATATTTCCTTTTAATCATCTTTAATCTATTTTACTGACTTGGTGGTGGCTGTGTTGTGCTTTGTCAGTGCTGAGAACACTGGAGTTAGGATTTTGGTGTTAGCTAGAACTGTGCCCAGTCAGGACTGCTCTGCCTGGCCCTCCTTTGATCACACTGGTGCCTGGGGTCATCTGTGTAATTCCTCTCAGAAGAAATGTCTGACTCGTTCTGGCCTTATGGAATTGGAATCTCACACAGATGTCTGGGCCCCCGCCTGTCAGAGTTTGAGAGAGTATGATGCATGGAAACACCTGCATTGGTGTTGCTGTTTGGAGGTCAGGTATCTCATGTCTCGGTAGTTCTGGGCTGGTCAAACGGTTTTTGTTTTCTGTTTTTTCTGGAGAAAAGTGCTCTGAAATGAAAAGGGAAGTCATAAAAGCCATGCAGAGGGACTGACTGAACATCAGAGAGTTCTTTGGGACCTGAGCTAAATCTGCCAGAGTGGGTGTTGGGTGTTGACGCGATGAACAGAGGTCATCTTGGTGGAGACAGAGAGCGGTGCAAAACAAACTTAGACTAGATTTGGATGAAGGGACTAGACTGCTTGTCAGCCAGTCCAACCTTGTCATTCAGTTTGTCTCTTGAGGTTTTACGAGGTTTCTTCTGAACCACCCTCACTGTTGGAAAACAATACTTTTCAGAAACCAAGAAGTAAAAGTGACGAGTGTCTTGGTTTTGTATCAGGAATATTTTGTGGGGTCTACAGCTGACAACTCCTTGCATAATGGCTAAGGTCACCAACATGCCAACCACAAAGAACTGTTCTTATCTGGTGTTTGCCTTGGAACCTGTAGGGCTGTTGGGAGAAAGGAAAACACTCAGATGTAGTGAAGGGAACTGATAACTCTAATCACATAACTAGCTTTCCCCCCTAATGGTTTCTGGGTCATGAATAACTACTCCCAAAGTCCCTTATCACACTGAGACCTGAGAGACTGAGAGCTATATAAACTGGGCTTAGGAAGTCAAGGGGTCATAGAAAATCCTATTATGCATGCTGTTGCATAAAGCCCAAGAGACACGACATGAAACGCCTTGTGAGTACATTTTTAATTTTGAATGTGGATGATTATATTCTCAGAGTCAAAACAGCCAAGGAAGTCTGTTTTCTCCCCTCCCCTAGGAACTCTTCAAATTCAACCCAAATAGGATTTTCAAACTATGATTTGGCATATAATCTTCTACTGGCAATTGCCTATTTTGCAGAATCTGAGTGAATGGTGTTTTCAACCAGAATCGATAACTAATTTCTTAAAGGTCAAGATTCTTTTGGGACTAGGTGGATATTCACATTTTAGAGTCCTGTCTTCAGTGGCATTTCTTACTTATGAATTGTTGGTGGAAAAAAAAAAGGCAGATATATGTGGCGCCAGCTGAAATAGTGTATTTTTGTTCCTTGGATTTTTGAGACTAGGTCTCATTCTGCTGTCCGGGCTACCTTGCACTCCCTGTGACTTGCCTCAAACTTTTGAAATCCTTTATCCCAGCCTCCTAGGCACTGGCATTAAAGGCACGCATGGCCAGTCCGGCTCCCAAGCAGCTCACACAGCAGTCTTGCCCTCAGCTGCTCCCGGGTCTTGAGGCAGGTTCTCATTGCACAGTGGTGATCATGATACTGTAGGACAGCCATTTCCTTTGCCTCTGAGGTGCAGCTCACCTTTTATTACTAAACGTGAACGCAGACTTTACGTGGGTGCACAGAGAAGGGAAGATCTTGTTAGTTCCGCTTGACATGATGGCTGCACTTGAGCTGGGTGAGCCTCAAGTACGTGATAAGCTATGGCTGACTTATCCCAGCCCCCAATTCTTTCGTTAATGACTAATCCAGAGAATTCCCTCAATGGGCAGGGCACAGCACACAGAAGAAATGAGCAACTCAAATATTTTAAGGCCTAAGTATACTCATTTTCTAAGATTTATTTTATGTATGAGAGCTCTGTCTGCATATGCACCTTTATGCCAGAAGAGGGCACCAGATCTCATTACAGATGGTTGTGAGCCTGAATCATGTGGTTGCAGGGAATTGAATTCAGGACCTCTGAAAGAGCAGCCAGCGTTCTTAACCGCTGAGCCAATTCTTCAGCCCTGGCCTAGGTATAATCTGACATAATTTTTCCCCAAATAGTGTGGGGATGGTGGTGAGTATCTTTTCTTCTTGGACAAGGAAAGAGACTCTGGAGGAAAGGAAACTTGGCAGGAGTCAGTCTCCAGAGGGGTGGAGGGTGGGCAGGGGGTAGAGCATGGCCAAATGTGAGCTTTGGGGTTTGGGTGAAGAGCTGGAGCAGGGGCCATGTGCAGCCATGGAAGCAGAGAGGATGGGCAAAAGGAAAAGTGGGAACCCGTGCTATCACGGCCCAGGCTGGTCCTGTCCTGTGTGCCGACCAGTCCCCAAGGCTGGCTAAATCCGTCCCAGCGGTTGACGCTGGACGACACACAGGAAGTATCCTTGAATAACTGATAAAGCTTTGCCTCCTGAGCAGCGGGCATGCCCTGTTTGAGCATGGTAAACTGTGGTCTCCTGGCACACTCAGGGTCCCGGAGGGATAAGCGAGGGCGAGAGCTGTGGACCCTCATCAGAAGGATTTGTCCCACAAGGCAGACCCTGCAGTCCAAGCTCATCCAAGGCTAAGGACAAAGCACACTGACCTTTGTGTCATTTCAGATTGCATCTTCCATTCTCGTCAGCATCTTTCTAGTTCCGTCTCTGGCCCTGATGGTGAGTATGGTGGAGAGGGCCCAGTCTGCCTAACTCTCTTTTAGCGCAAGCATTTCGAAGCTAGCAACCAAGGTCGGCATTCCCATAATTCCTCATGGATCCCCCTTGACCCTACCAGGAATAGATAGGTAGACACTTGGGGCCACTGACTTTTTCCACTGTTGATTGTGTTTTTCTAGAACGCCAGTGACAGTCATCTTCTGGATGGCTCTGTGGGGACCCAGACCATCCATGTTGATCCCCTCCGAGGTGTGGTCAGCATCCAAGACAACAATGCTTTGAGTGAATGGAATGGAATCCTGGACTACAAGAATGTAAGATGTGAAACACACTTATTGCGATGCCAAAGGGACTCTTGTGTGGTCCAGGTGCACCAGGGTGCCTGTCCATCTTCCTCATCCTCCTTTGAGCCCGGGGTGTGCTTCAGATGCTATTTTAATGTTGACTTCTAAAGGAATATTGGCGGAACTCTAATAGAATGTTCTGTGACCACAGAGATATTTTTCTGCCTGGAATGCCTCAGTTACCATAGCTGTAAAACAGCTCCAACACTGCCTTCCTACCTAGTGGGACCTTGAAGGATAAAATGAAGTCAACTCCAACACTTTCACTCTGCCTGTCGCTACACAGACCCTCCCCACCCAGATGTCACATTCCTGCCATGTCCTCTTCCTTAAACACTTTCTCTCTCTTCACCTCCCCACTCCTAATTCCCCAAGGAGATTCCCTGGGTCCTCCCAGAAGGATCCCAGTTTACAGATTGATTGCCTCTGACGGATGCAGGTGTAGCCCAAGTAAAAATTGCCTCACACAACATTCCACCGTAGACCACTAGGTGGCGCAAGGAAGGCAAAACTCACTAGAGGTTTAGCTTCTTGAAGCAGCAAACCGCAGCTCTGATCTAAGCCAGGAAGGGACAAATAATAGGCTTTAAGGAAGGGACTTCCAGGACAGACCTAGCTCTAGAATCCAAATATCCTGGTCATGATGCAGGCCTCCTGACTGCCCTGGGTTTCCGGAGAACGTCTCCAGCTTACACAGCATTCTCCCAGGAAGTGGGGAATCTCAGCTCTTCCATCATCGCCCTCACACCTCTACGGAAGAAAGGCCATTCCCCCCTGCTTTACAGATACAGAAACTGAGGCTCAGGGAGGCCTTTGAGGATTCCAAGAGCTGTTGAGTAGCAGGCCAGGCCCATAAGGTCGTCAGTATTGTTGTGTTGTCATCCTGCCCGTCAGGATGTTAGCATCCCTGAACACCCTGGGAGAGAAAGCCTTCACCATCAGGAGCAGAGGAGAGGATAGCACGGGGGGCCGGGGGCGGCTAGGGAGCAGCAGGGTTCAGTACCACAGTGCTGCTGATGCTGCCGTGTGCTCTGGCATCCAGGGAGCGGAGCAGGTGTGTTAGTGCTGAGACTGATTGAATGCCATGTTTCTGCTCTGTTGTTTTAAGGCCCTCCTGGCAGCTAAACTGTTTAGTAAGATGGCCTGTGTCCTGGCCAAGATGGACCTAACAGTCTTCCCAAGTTTGGATGATATTAGCCAGGCCCTGGGCAAACAGGTGAGTCCAGTTCTCTCTGACACACATCTTCTTTGGGGGTTTTGAGCTTATAGTCAGTGTCCTGGGCAACTCCTCACTCATCCATACCTGTTCTTCATGCAATGAAATCACACCATTTGCAAAGAACCCACGGACAACAGGTGCTCACTCAAGGTAAGTCACAGTTGAATCAATGGCCTCATTCCCAATGGGTTCAAGCTATGCTAGAGAAGACAAACGGTTGGATGCAATGGTTTCATGTGCCTGCTTTCTCTCCTTCCTGCCCCTCCTGACACACGCTCACACGCACGCTCACACACACACACACACACACACACACACTAGTACGCCCATACACACTGCTATCATTATCATCATCTTTAATTGCAATTAATCCCAAAACTGTTGAAACTCTTGCCTGTGAGGCAGGAACTATTAATAGGAATAAATTTAAAAACCAGGAAGAAGTTGGCAGCTAATGGAATCTGCTCAAACTTTGCTTAAATATCCACACATTTGCACAGCACTCAGGACAGTGGTGCTAACTCTAGGAAAGAAATAGAAGTGCGTTAAAGTAATGCTATTTTTAAAAGAAGCTGGGGTGAAGCTGAAGAGATGGTCAGAGGCTAAGAGCACTTTCTGTTCTTGTAGAGGAACCTGGTTTATTCCCAGCCCCCACAAGATGGCCCATGCCAGTCTGTAACTTTAATTAAACACTCATACACAATACACATAAAATTAAAATACATAGATCTCTAAAGGAGAAGTTGAAAGTGTCAAGTTCATCTAAATTGACGAAATATAAACACGACAAATGTTTTAAACTACTCTCTGTTCTGTTGTTCTGGTTCAGAAAGCACCTAAGGCTAACAGGAAAACATAATAACGCTGGGACCCATACAGATTTTTTATTAGAGTCTCTTTCGCCCTCTTGTGGCTTGATAAGATATTGCATGTTGAGGAAAGCAAGTCTGGGTTCACAGTGGGTACTGTTACCCGAATCGCCCCCACGTACCTTCACAACTTTTCTGTGAACCCCTTTTTGATATGTCATGTCTGAGACGCCCCTTCTTCCAGGCTTCCGGTCATTATCCACCCACCCGCGGACTGACCTACACGGTTTTACCCAGTCGAGTCAAAAACTTGGCCCAATACGGAGTGCCTGTCAAGGACCTGTGCAGAGCAGTCCCCGCCTACTTTGCCCAGCAGCAAAAAGAAGGTGTGTTCAAAAAGCAAAAAGAAAGCAGTGTGTGAATCAAAAGATGCAGGAGGAGTTTCAGGACCTATGAGCAAGCTGTAGTGACAGCTCATTCCATTGCTTCCGCGGTGGAAGGACAGTCTGCGTGGCCTGGGATGTATTTCCTCGGCTGGTACAGGGGATTCCTTACGGGGCTTACGTGGAAGGGAAACAGCCTTAGCCTCATCAGAAGGCCAGTTGTCTCCTCATGGGTCTGACGGCTGATGGCCATCCTGCCCTGATTCAGGCTTTGCCATGCCCATGGTAGGGAAAGGTCTGTGACTTTGGAGTCCTGGGTTCTACTCTTTCTCAAGGCACCTGGAGCCTAACAGCTTTAGACCACACTGGGGAAAGATGGCTGGCAGTCCTGCTGCGGGTGTGAGGGGGATCAGTGACCGGAAGAGCCTTGCTAGTAGGGTTAAGACTCCAAGATCTGCCTGTGAGTCCAGTTGCAGTCAGCAACATGGCTGTTGCACTCTCTTATACCTTGGTCTAAGTTTCCCCACAAGCCAGAGTTCTTCAAAACATGAGGGGATTAAGATGCATAATAAAGGAGAAGGAAAGAAAGAGAGAGAGAGAGAAGGAAGGAGGGAGGCAGAAAGGAAGGCAGGAAGAAAGGAAGGAAGGAAGGAAGGGAAGGAAGGAGGGAAGGAAGGAAGGGAAGGAAGGAAGGAAAGGAAGGAAGGAAGGAAGGAAGGAAGGAAGGAAGGAAGGAAGGAAGGAAGGAAGGAAGGAAGGAAGGAGGGAAGGCAGGAGGTTGCTTTAGGTACTGTAGAGAGGACCAGGGTGGACCTGCACTGTCCTGGGTATCCACACAATGCAGGCCTGATGTACCCGGTGACTCTAGCCTTGTCTCTAAAGTAGAGTTCCCTCCTCTTGAAGGTACCGCCCTGGCGAGGGACCCAGACTCCTGTTCTGAGCTCCAGCTTCTCTCCTTCATGGGACTGTCCATCTGTGGTGAGATTCCTGGGCTCTGAGCCTCCATGTCAGCCATGTGAAGACTGCACATGCCTGCTCAGTCTCCACCTATGGGAAGCAGCTCTTTCCAGGCCTGGCTTTCCACACAGCAGTAGCCCTGTAATCGGGAGGGGGGGGGTGCATTTTCTACCTTCTAGGAAGACATAATAAAATTCCACGTCACTGGTCTAGCAGATCCCCTCATCCTCTGTGCGCCGCCAGCCACGGGGCAGCACAGAGCACCCTGCAGCATGGAGGTGACTCCACCAGAGCCTCTCACTCTGAGTCTCTTTAGGCTATCCCTTGAGGAGCTTTGGCAACAAATGATCAATGCTGCCCAGTCTGGGTGGGCAGGCCTGGGGCTGCACTTACCTCCTGAAAACTAGGACTGGGCTCCTGGGATGTCTCTTTCTTATGCCAACCCAGCTGCACAGTGACAATCTATAGACTGGTCTTGGAGCCTCCTTCTAGAACTCTCCGCCAGGAGCAGCATCCCTTAGATAAATGTCCCCGTTGCAAGTTAATGAAGATCCATATATTCAGTCCTCATTCTGCAGCTGTCCCCCTTGTGAAGACAGCCTTTTCCCTATCATTAGCCCCTCTACCCACGTGGTGTCACCTAACTCTCCCCATTACTCCTGCTCCTTGGGAACACAAGTTCCTTCTAGAGTGAGGTCCATTTCACAAAGCAGACCTCTGTTGTTCCCAGAAAGGGACTCCCCACAGTTGTCCACGGCCACAGCCTCCTCAGCTCTGTGGAAGGACCGGAGCCTGAGGCCTCCAGTCCTGACTCCGATCAGGGAGCCAGAGCACAAGTTGCTCAGGGCTGTTATGGGTGACAGGAATGGCAGCTCATTTCCTGAGACTGCAGCATTCCAGATGGCTTCCTTTTCACTCAGCTGTATAAGTGTTGACAATAGATCGAGATTTCTTTTGAGGCTTAAAGTGAGGCATAGCCCTTCCTTTCCCGTCCTGGCCTTCCTGAGATTGTTACCTCATGATCCCAACATGGCAGGGACAGCTCTGGACATCAGTATCACATCCCCTCATAGGAAGGAGAATAGGAAAAAGCAAAGAACACACTTTCCAGCCGTCTGAATCTGTCTTTCTTTACCTGGAAAGAACATGGTTCCTAGAAGCCTCATGTTGAAACTTCTGCCTACATGTAATTGGTCAGAGCTTTGGTCACCTGACCAGCAGAGGCCAATCTGCTCCTTGCATTCTTAAGAGAAAATACAAGCTTGTTTTCTTGGGGGAGACAGAACTGACTTAGCTCAGACTTTGTCCACATTTAACTGTTGACACTTGGGGCCAGGAATTCTTCACTGTGGAACCGTACTGTGCACTGCAGGGTGTTGAGCACCACCTGTCCTGGCATTGCCGGAGGACAGGACCTTCTCTGGCTGTGACAGCAATGATTGCTCATCTCCTGGGGACAGGAGATAAGTCGTATACCGTTGAAAACTAACTTGATGACCATGGTTAGTCCCCTACAACTGAAGGAATACACAGAAGTAATGCTTAACCTCTACTCACATCACCAGGGGTTATGCTGGTAGAAAGAGGGGTCTGGGGAAGACGGGTTGTCAGTGAGCTCCTTTTGAAGAGGAATATTAGGCATCTGTGACAGGCAGCAGATAAGTGACCCTTTCTCTAGGTTTTCTCTGCAAGAGTCACCCCCATGCCTTTAGAAGTCATTTTTCATATTTTGCTCAGGTGCATAACTGTAATGGTAGGAGAGCTAGACAGATTTAAGTTATGTCATCATTATCAGAAACCAGAAAGCTCGCTCAATATTAATTTTATTTTTTAGCTCACCATGAATTCATTATTTTTGCTCAAAAACACTGAATTCATTCACTGAGTCAATAATACTAGCAGGTAATTCTGCAATGAAATACTGGGGTCTACATCTTCTAATGTCAGCATCTATGAAAAAATGCAGTTTAACTCCCTTAGATGAGCAAATGAGTGTGTAAGGCACATGGGGTTTTATTCACTCTGAGGAGGAACATGGAGGAAATAACAGTCCTATCTAGCCCTCCACCCAACACTGGCTCCTTCAAGGACTCCCTTGGCAGGCTGGCTCCATGCATGGCTGATCTTTCTTTCCTTTTGAGACCTCTTGAGACCGTTAGTCCAGGCTCCTTCTTCTTTGCTCTTGGCCCAAGGAGGGCCTCAGGCTTGAGCACCCCAGAGTTAAAAGGTTGACATTTATTTCCCTTAGAGCTTAGAAGAGGCTAACTATGAGGAACTGTAGCAGGGCCCCAGCCTCCCTAGGAGGGAGGGGAGATTTAGACAAAAAAACAAAGTGAGGAAGCAGACCTTTGGCTCTGCTTTAAAAATGGAACCAATATGGTCAAAGCAAGAGGAATCATATGCGCACACCCCCAAGGAGGCCGCCAGTGCTGAGGCTCTCCCTGCGCCAAGCCGCCCATTCCGGCCATGGAGCCAGTCGGGGTCATCTCTAGAGACTTTGGCGCTAAAAGCATCTCATAACCAGAATGAACAGAAGCCCCTGCCTCTTAGGCAATGAAGCTGAGATGGGGACCCGGTGGCCGACCATGGTGCTGGTTCTCACCCCTCATGCAGAAAAGCCCTGAGGATGAGGAGGCTGCCATAGAAAGAACACAGCTGAGAGGCAGGGAAAGAATCTAGTCACGCTCAGCTTACCCTCAACTGCAACAGATGTGGTTTGGATTCTGTCACTCGCAAACACCTAAAACACTGTGCGCTTTACTTGGCAGTCTATAATACACTCAATGCTACTGTCATCAAACTCTCTATAGACATGTCCCATTTCCCCACCAAGAAAGTAGCATCGGTGACTGGTGGCTTGAGCGTCTTATCCCATCATGCCCTGGTGCCGTGCACACAGAAGGCAATTCTGATACATCTGGGGATGGACCCGTGTGAGGGCCAGAAAGACACAGTGGCAAAGAGGGATTCCTGTTGAAGTCTCCCTTGACGCTGAACTTGCATCCAGCTGCCCAGACAACATGAGACCTGGCTAACTGGTCTGGGAATTGGTCCACACGATGTGATTCATTTTAAGCCGTGGATGCTTTTCCTGCAGTGAATAAGCAGTGAATTATCTTGGATTCCCATCTTTACTGTTTCTGTTCCTGATGTTACTGCCCCTCCCTCCCTGCTCACTCCAGGCCAGCACTAAGAGAATATTGCTCCCTGTGGCTAAGCTGCCACCTCAGCAAATTAAAACACATGCCCTAAGAGGCATCTGAATGGCCCTCACAGCCTAAAAGGCATCTGAATGGTCCTCACAGCCTAAAAGGCATCTGAATGGTCCTCAAAGCCTAAAAGGCATCTGAATGGCCCTCAAAGCCAAGTCATTGGTCAGAAGAGGGAACTTCCTTCATTAGAGCAGTGAGGTTGTTTGCCAAGACTATGCCAAGAACCACTCTCTTTCCAGTCAAAGCCATTGCCACCCAAGTCCCTGTTCAAGCCTGCTGTCTTGAGATCACAGGCGAGCAGCTGATCTGCAGGCAGCTACAGAGGGAAATAGAGGCTCACACCCACTGGGTAGACTGCACGTGGCTCGTCCCAGCATCTGAACATTTTCATACATTGTATTTGAAGTCCTTCTATATCTTAAGGTCAACATTGTTTGGCTCTCCACTGTGCCCATGAAAGGAACAAACACACAGATATTTGTAAATATATCATTTATGTGTTATTGTTGAATCTCATAAGTAGATGGAATGTTGGCTTCTGAGTGTAAACCAAAGGTGTATTTCTTTGCAAAGATGAAGTCAGCTGATGGACCACCTTAGATGTGAGCTCCTGCACAGATGGAGATTCCCAGGATCCCCAGGAGGCCAACCTTTGCACAGGCTCCAGTAGCTACCTCATCTGCAAATGAGAAAAATGTGAAGAAATGGTATTAAAAATGCATTCCAAAGCAGCAAGCCAATCTTTTCAAAAGGTCCTGAAGGGGAGGGGCTTGTAATTTCATAGCACCAAGATTTTAGCCAAACTATATTACTACTACTGCCACCACCACTACTACTAAGTTTACATAAGACCGACAACTCTGCAAGTGTTGGTCTGCTGGACCTTGGTGTGTTCATTGTCTTGTTGAGTTCATTGTCTACTAGTTCTGGACACTTTGCCATAGACAGTGCAAAATCCATCAATGATCACAGCGCCCCGTGGCACCTGACTACCATCCCCTGATTGTCCACTCACCCTAACTTCTCTATCCTGGACCACTTCCGCCGGATCCCGGCAACACTCCTAAACATCTCCAGAGAACGCTGTTTGAAAGATGCTCTGGAGGCGTTTTTCCACATGGAGCATTTACATGGGAGAAACAGGGATCCCAGGGCTTTCCTTGAGGGACCCTTCCTGACCCCATTTATCATTTCCACTCCTTCACATTCCCACTGCACTGAACCCCTACCCATCTCTGCACTCCTGACATCTCTCACAGTTCGTTCACATAGTAGGACTTCAATTCCTAAAGTAAACTTAACTAAGTCTTGTTTTCACTCATGTGTATTTCACACAGCTGCCCCACCCCCACCCCCACCCCCGCCTGACCCTGACTGCGTGGCACACAGCTTCCAGAGCTTGCTTGGCCTCCTCGGTACTCACTTGGCTTCGCCACCACCTCCGCCTCATACAGGGGGACGTGCTTGCACAGCTGCTCAATAGGCGACCCAAACAGGAACCAATCCACCTTCATGAACAGAGACTTCAAAGGGTTGTACTTGACCCAGGTGTACTCTCCGGAGTCCATGGTGTTCATTGTCTAGGTGACGTAACAGAGAACAGTGCTGAAGAAGCTGGTGATCCCAGTGGACCTTACTCTAAGTTGTGAACGGCTTTCTCTTTCCAGCTGTTAAATAAAGGGCATCCAGAGATTTCAAGTCATGGTTTCCTGTGACTACTCTGCCTGGAGGAAAAGCTCATTGTTTTACCCACAGTATTTCACTGCAATGAACCCACAGAAGGTAAATCTCCTGAAAAGGTAGACACAGATGGGGCAGCGTAGACAGGGCCAAAACTATGTGTCTAGCCTCAGTGCACTGTGTGGAGACTCCCGTGCTTTGGAATTGGTCTGGATCTTTTCATCCTTGAACATTATAAATGTACTCCATTTTCAACAAAACGCTGCATCTTAGATCTCACCTCCAAGAAGAAGGGTTCACCAGCTCCCTCTCCAAAGA